CGGACTTTTGTTCAGTGTCATTTGCGTGTTCCCTATGTTGCTATAAACATAGTTCTTCTGTTCTTTAGAATCAGTCACCGAAGAGCCGTCCTGCCAGCAAGTCGGACGTCGGTGAGTTTTGTCCTTTTTTTATTTCGTCTGAAAGATAGATACGGGTTTAGTTCGGCTCTGGCCTTACATAACGGCATGGGGAACTGTTCATTCTCGGGAGCGATCACGGGATAGTCGCAAGTATTTTACAAGTCACCTGCCATGTTGGTGGAAAGGCTGTTTTGGATTCTTGCCAGTGGTTTGTTCTGTCACAACCTGGTTAAAAATTCTACCTCGAGCGTCGAAATCACACGGTAGCCTTACATGTCTTATTACTGTAAGCTCATTTATGTTCCGTGGGGATAAATTTCGCGTTAGGAAAGGAAATGGTATTTTTGCGGTGTTTAAACTTCACTGTTGAAACAATACTTCACTACGGCAGTACATTTACAGTGCCATCAGTGCTTTTACTCTTGGTTTTACTCTTGTGGCATTGTACAGTATAGTGTATAGTACACATTTTTGGCCAGTATGGGGCTATTGATGCATGTCTTACACAACAGAAGGATCAAATAGCGTGTTTATTAGGACTCCCCTAATATGTATTTGAATGAGTGAAGCAAGTGCATGCGTGACTTCATCTGGGTTTACCAGTAAACAAACGTCCGTGCCAGGTGTACATTCCACCCACCCATTGTAGCCGGTATAAACAATGACAATGATGTTCACTAGTATTTGCACATTCATGTCCATGAGGGCTAAGTGCCAAAAGACTGGTCATCCAGCTGTTGTAATACATAAAACAATTACATTCGCGATCTCATGAATTCGCGACGGAGCGGCCATCGTGAATACCGCGAAATCATTACCACCACGATCATTTCAAGATTTACAGTACCAAAATGTTATCTTTTTTCAGTAGCGTTTGTGTGTATGTGTACATGTGTATGTATGTATGATTGTGTGTATTTATGTATGCGGCTTAGCACGATAACTCAAGAAGCTTTTAATGGATTGTCATGAAATATGGTAGGTGAGTAGGTCTTGATGAGACCTAGAAATGATTAGATTTTTGGCTTCCTGGCGGTTTGCATTGGTACTGCAGCAGAATTTTTGGTTTTAATATCTCGCGATCTTGACATGCTAGGGTCAAGAATTTTGGATGGTAGATAGCTCTTAGGGAAGGAAAGGAGTGACATGAGTTTCGGCTCCGAGCGGCTTGTTCTGAAACTAAAGGAGCGTTTGTTGAAATATCTTCGAAGTAGGATTACTCAAGAACCGGTTGACGGATTGTCGTAATTTCTGGTATGAGGGTAACTTAGGTGATGATTGACAAAGATTGAAATAAACTTTCAAAAATTCTAATGAACAGGCACAGTCTGCTATTGATAACCTTTAATAATAACCTCTGCTAAGTGAATCACACTGCAGTATGATTAAGATGCACGGTGGTAAAATCTGGACTGCAAAGTTCCCACATGTCATAGAACCCGAACTGTGTTCGATCGTGTTCGATCTGGGCAATTCGAATCGAACCCGCGTTCTATTTCGGGGTCACCTGCGGTCATTTACTGTAAAGCGGCAAAACAAGCCTTTCTACCTCCGTGCATTGCAACAGATAAAAAACAACACTTTTCTATAGATACAAACAGTTTCCTGGACAGTACATGTCCGCTATTTTTTTTGGTGGACATGTAACATGTAGCGAAGCTACTGTCGTATCCTTGAGTGACCTTGAATACTGTAATGATTCTTTACACCAGTATGAATAACACAATGCACACTTTCTAACGATATGACATGTCTCCAAAACTCGTTCAAACCTGGAAACATGGAGAGTCAAACATACCCCATTTACGGCTCAAAATGACTGTAATGGTTGTCCCGAAAAATCGTGTTTTAGGGATTTTTGAAAAATGGCCTCAATTTTGAATTATGGGTAATTTAGTGAGAAAAATGTCAAAAAATGCCATTTTTTCACCAATATGTCGACAAAAACTAGACTTAAAATCAGAAATTAAAAAATCCCTAAAACACGATTTTTTGTCTTATTCCTAGTCTGCGAAAAATATACAAATCGGGGATCTGGGGTAATATACGTAGCCAGGTTTGAACGATGTTTGCCTAAAAACGTGATATGACTTGTGCTCGGAAACCCGAAAATAATCGACTTTCTGAGCAAAATTTAAAAAAATCATTGATTTAACATAAAAGCTAACATTTAAAGGATATTAAGACGATAATTTCAATTTAATTTGACGAAATTTACCCCTAAATATTATTTGTGTATTTTCAAATATTTTACGGGTAGTCCAAAACAGGCCAAAATAGCGTCTTGTAACCCGATACCTTTTCGAACGCGCATAGCAATGGGAAAGAATGCCGTAGTGACAGACCGCCGTGTCATGCATCTCTGTCGTTGTTTTTTTTTTTTGTTCTTGTTTTTTTTTTTTTTGGATTTCTGTGCTTTTTTCTGAGCTGACATCACTGGGTGACATCAACTCAGGAAAAAATAAAATGTAGAGATGCAAATCGCCTGCCAGTACTGGCTTGTGCTGACTTTTCCAAGGCAGAGCATCAAATTTCGAATGTAACAGGAGAACCGTGCATATTTATTGTAAATGTGTCTGATAGCCAGGTATTACTAGTTATGTAAATTACAATCAGCTAAAATCATATTTTGGTGTCATGAGCACTTTAATAACCACGCACGGAAACTCACAAGCACTACTCGTGAAAGCCAAACCCTCGTGCACGTTAATTTATCCCAGTAAAACGTTTAACTTTATTCCAACACACAATTTACACAGGGATCAAATTTTCAGCGACCACTGTCGCCTTCATCAGGATAATTAATGAACAATCACTTCACAGCGTGATTTTGCGAGAGTTACGGTTTACAAACACGTGACCTTATTCTCACGAGACTTTACTGATACGTGACGTAAGTAATTGATCAAAAGTGCCAGGGAGTTTATATCGTCCACCATCTCTATTTGTAAACCGTAACTCTCGCGAGATCACGTTGTGAAGTGATTGGTCATTAATTATCCTGATGAAGGCGACAGTGGTCGCTGAAAATTTGATCTCTGTAAATTGTGTGTTGGAATAAAGTTTAACGTTTTACTATGATTACTACCAACACAGATGAACTTTCATTGTAAATTTATCTCTACTGAAAGGAAAGGTTTACATGGGCCAGACATGAAATATGATATCTTTAGAAGTCTAATATAAGTGATTGATTGATATTCAAAAAAGCCTTAGTTAAAAAAATTAATGTTCTTTAAATGAAGAATAACCTTATTTGGATATTAACAAAGGTTTATTGTTGCATGAAAAAGCAAATCAAATGGTAAAAAAACACGTTGAAGCCAATGTTATCCCTTGACCTGTTGTATCTAGGTTTGCCTTTTCTTTAATCTGTTGGTGTCAAATTGAAATAGTACGACAGAAGGTTTTTAAAATTATAATCAATTTCGTCAACGTCAAAATAGTTCGCAGACAACAGTAAACTTAAAAAAATGCGTTAAGTTAAATTTTTACCAAAGTGTCAATTATTTTAAGATATATTCAAAATGTCAGTTTAAATCCATTTTTGCAAGTTTTTGAATGATCCTGTTCATTTTCTTTACGTTTAGGTCACGAGCAGCACCACGGTATTCCCGGTACGTTGGGTCATTTTTTTTATTATTCTTTCAGTTTATGCAATTAGGAATATACAATACATTTTGCCATCAGCATTTGTTTAGGTAAAAGTGAAGATTTTTTACATTCAAAACTTTTGAAACATTTCTTATATTTTTCTATGACAATTGTATTGCTATCCTGTCTTCTTACAGACCACAGTTCATCCAACGACAAAAAAGGGGGACTGGCAGGTAAGTTACAACAAATTAGCTTAGTTTTCTCTGCAACCTATCGCCAGTCAGTTTAATATCCATTTCCACTACATAATGTCGGTTTTCAGACGACCGAAAATTCGACTACAAATCTTGCTATTTGTAATCATTTTCTTCTTGTTATCTGTCATTGTTCCACATTTTACCTAAGGCCACAGCAAGTAATTTTTATGGATGACATCAGCGCGCGCATTAATATTCGCCTGATTTAAAAAAAAAGAAGAAATTTTGTTGCCTTCTGACAGTGGTCAACATGCCGAAAATGGGCAAAGATGTCTGTTGCCACCTCTGATTAAATGTTTTATTTCTTACTTTGATGCAGTGATATGTGGTGTTGGCTGTGTTTATGTGATGCTCCCACTGAATCAAAACCATTTATACAATGATTGAGTCAAAAGTTTAGAGTATAGGAACCTTGTTTTTTCGGCTCGCCTTGTTTTTTCTCGCCCGCTCGCCCGATTTGGAGTCTGCGGAGGATGTCATCCATAAAATTTACTTGCTGTGGCCTAAGGGCCGCGCTGACCTTTGGTTGATCTTGAAATTTATGTATTCAATGTGTTTCTAGATACTTGATTTACTTTGTTTTCCACTTGGCTTCTTGACAATTTGATCTGGCAGTTATCTCATTCAAACGCATACTTAAGATTTAAAACAAAATGGTCCTCACAAAAATGGTGGCCCTTATTAACTCCTTGGGTGATCAAAATAAGGTTTGTTTTCTGTAAATAGATAGTTATCAATTGTCGGCCCTAACATCTAAACTTCCCTTGCTTTGAGCAAAAAAATGAACTGAATCTTCAGTAATAATCCCATTTTCATCCAAACTTAGGGTGGGCATCATTTACATCATCCACACACATCATTCTGATTGGATTGGAACTCTACTTAGTTACTGGATTATAAATACTTCGATTCCTTTGTTATCTGTAACAAAATTTCGTATCCAAAAGAATGTGCTCATTTAGAAAATATTACTGGCCTCTGCTCTTGAGACTGCCTTTTAAGAGGTTTTTGTATTTTAAAAGTATATGTTTTTCCTCCCGATCATAGAATGTACTTTACCCAAAGACGACTTTCCATGTGAGGTAGAATAACTCTTTCTATTTCCTATTAGCGACACTACTTGTGAGTTATAACAAAACGGATCAAGATGTATTTCACTTCAATGTTCGTTGATATTTTTGTATTTGTTTACCACTCGTGTATAAAACTTACTTGTACTTGTTAAGGTCTCCTTGAGTCAGTCGTTCGAGTGGCCTGCGCACAGAACTCGTCTCTTCCTCAACAGTCCCCTCCACTTCTTCCTATCTCTTGCTAATTCCTTCAGCTCTTCCAGACTGGTACTAGGCCTCCCTATGATCAGCACAGCATCTTCCAGGACACAGTTAATCCATGATTTCCTAGGCCTTCCCCTAGAGCGTCGCCCATAATTCGGTTTCCAATCCAATATATACCTGGGCAACCGCTCTTCAGGCATTCTTACAATGTGCCCTAATAATAATAACCACCTTAGCCTGTTGAGAGCTACGATTGTGGCTATGTTGGCTGACTGTGCTTGCTGTAGTACATCAGGACTACCTTATTCTCTTCTTCAAATCACAATGTTCTTTCTTTTTCACATTTTTCACAGTTGTAAATTTGATCGAGGTTTAAGGTCAAGTGAAGTCAAGTATGCCTTTATTTTACTTCTAAATGATTGTTCGGCTATTCTTAGCTGCTGTAGCTTTAGTAAGAAAATGTCTTAGTAGCACCTCTTGAGTTAAAACTGATCCTGGTATTTTTTGCGTCTTTTATTGTATCATTTTTTTTACAAACAGACCACTCGAAATCCAACAACAGAAGCATGGGCGTGGAAGGTGAGTCACTAAACGTTAGATCGTTTTTCTGTAGGTAGCATAAGATATCATAATCTCAAAAATGACCTGGATCCTCAGTAATTGTCAAATTCGAATCCATACTTAAGGTTGGCATCGTTTCTATCATCCTTACACATGAGTCTGCATGGAGGGGCACTACTTAGTTACTGGATTATAAATTTGGTGTATATGTATCTATAAAAATGTGCTCATTTAGAATATAATACGGGCCTCTGCTTTTCCTCTTGCTTTTAAGAGTTTTTTTTATTATTAATTAGTAATTTCCATCCAACCATAGACCACACTTAACCCAAAGGCAGACCGTACGACTTCCCATGTGAGTTACAATAACTATGTCTATTTCATGTTAACGACACTACTTGTGCTTTATAACAAAACGGGTCCAATTGTATTTCTCTTCGACATTCGTCTATATTGTTGTATATGGTTACCACTCGTTTATAAAAAGGACTACCATTTCCCTTCTCCAATATAATGACATTGATAAAAAAGAATGCAGCACAAGTCCGCTGCAGCTTTAATAAGGAAATGTCTATGTTACACCTCTTGAGTTAAAACTGATCCTGGTACTTTTGCCATGAGGCGTCTTTTATTTTGTGTATTTTCACAAACAGACCACTCGAAATCCAACAACAGAAGCGTGGACGTGGAAGGTGAGTCACTAAACGTTAGGTCGGTTTTCTGTTATTAAGATATCATAATCTTAAAAATGACCTGAATCCTTGTTGATTATCCCATTTGAATCCATATTTAAGGTGAGCATCATTTCTTTCATCCTTACACATGAGTCTGCATGGAGGGGTACTACCCAGTTACTGGCTTATAAATTTGGTAGATTTGTATCTATAAAATGTGCTCATTTAGAATATAATACGGGCACCTGCTTTTGCGGCCCGTATTGTATCATAATACGGGCCGCATTTAATTTTTTTGTTATTAATTGATATTTCCTTCCTACAATAGACCACACTTAACCCAAAGGCAGACCGTACGACTTCCCATGTGAGTTAGAATAACTCTATTTCCTATTACTACTTGTTATAAGCAAATATATAAGCAATAAGTTATAAACAAACGGATCCAGATGTATTTCTCCTCAGTATTCGTTGAGATTGTTGTATTTATTGAAAACTTGTGTATAAAAGGACTACCATTTCCCTTCTCCAAAATAATGGCATTGATAAAAAATGCAGTACAACCTCATCAGTATTTTTTCTTTCTTATAGACACATTTTTCACAATTGTAAATTTAATCGAGGTTCAAGGTCCGCTTCAGCTTTATTAATAAAGAAATGTCTATGTAGCACCTTTTGAGTTGAAACTGATCCTGGTCTTTTTGCCATGAGGCGTTTTTTTATTCCATCATTTTTTTCACAAATAGACCACAGGAAATCCAACGACAGTAGCATGGACGTGGAAGGTGAGTCACTACACGTTAGATCGTTTTTCTGCATTTAACATAGGATATCACAATCTCAACTAGAAAGGCCAATATTTGCTTTGGAGCAAATACAGCGATGGGTTCACCACATTTTACGACATGGCAGGGAAAGAATGAGAAACACAAGGGAAAACAATGATTTACATTGATATAACTATAATATGAAGTAAAATACAACTAAAACAACAGTTGGATAGCTATTCCCTACTTTATTGGTTAGTATTTTTAATTGCATAATGCAAACTGTTGATTTTCAAAATAAAAAAAAAAACGTCCATGCCCCGCATTCCAATGCTGGAGCAGGAAAGCTTGAAATACCTACCAAAACACTTCAATACAGACATACTGTCAGTATGGAAATGCTCTGTGCAGGTGTTAATCAAGTTAAATCCCAACAGCCAATCAGCAAGAAGAATAGAGGAAAGCTGCATGCCTATTGGTTGATGCCCTGCATTCCATTGTGATGACTCATGCCCAAACGTGGTAAACAAGGCACACTAACACAGTAATACATTTTGCTATAACACAGCCAAAAAACTCAAATAAAACCATTCTAAAAGCCTGTATCACAATAATTAAAAAAACGCCTAGGGGTATTTGCCCACTGTACCTCCATACCAAATTTCAGGACCTTGGGCCCTAAAATGAAGAAGCTGAATCCATTTAAAAAATGGCAGGAGGAGAAGGAGAAGGAGAAGAAGAAGAAGAAACATCAGAAAAAGCAATATGGGTTCACCACCACTTCGTGGTGTGGTGAACCCATAAAAATGACCTGGATCCTCAGTAATTGTCCAATTCGAATCCATACTTAACCCTCAACAGAACACCTTCCCGGACTGATTAATCTGTACACCTGGGGTCCGCGCGGACCCCAGAACAGTTTTTTGCTAATTTTTAGAAATTATCAACATGCTACCAGCTCAATTGTTTTGCAAACTGATGTGGGAACCTCTGTGTCCACGTTACATACAAAAATCATACATTTTGAACTTTTTCTATTTTTTGGTGAAGAAAAGAAGACAAGAAGAAATACCCGATTTCTAAACCCATTTCAGACTGAAGGGGCTTTTGAGGCCCAACTTTGATCTCAGATAGCGGCTAAACGGCTTGCGCTAGAAGTATCAAATTTGGAGACCTTTCCTAAAATGTCTCTGGAAAAGAGTTCATATTAGTTTAATACTAGTAAGTTGATGTTTTTTTGTGTTGCTATGGCAACGGGTTTCTAGCAGGCAGTTTTTTGTTTGAAAATAGAAGTAATTTTGGTTTCAACATAAAAATTTTCTGGGTTTTATATTAAATTACACTTCCTTTCCAACATTAATAACATCTTACATAATTAAATATAAGTTAAATCATTTAATATGCGTAGAATATGCTAATTTGATGACGTCTTTGGTCAAAATCCAATATGGCGGACTATATCATTAGCTCTGACGTCATATGACGTCATAATTACACCAAAGTTATTAAAATTTAATTCTATTACTACTCCATTCTCTGAAAACTTGGTAGACATACGATGAGTGCATAAAAACATATAAAAACGGAAATAGGGTAATGTATAAGAACGCCAGTGTATCCATTATGATCGAAAGCCGGCTGGGGTCCGCGCGGACCCCAAAAGAAAATCAGATATAATTTTTTTATAAAAGGTAGAAACGGAGTTTTATGCACTGTATTGAGAGACAACTTTGTGGGTGACAATTACCTAAAATATAAGAAAAAATCTTTAGAAACAAAAAGACATTACAGAATATATAGTGCTGGGGTCCGCGCGGACCCCAGGTGTACTGTTTAGGGTTAAGGTTTGCATCATTTTTATCATCCTCACACATGGGTCTGCATGGAGGGTCACTACTCAGTTACTTGATTATAGATTTTGTGGATTTCGTTACTATAAAAATGTGCTAATTTAGAAAATAATACTGGCCTTTTCTCTTGCCTTTAAGAGGTTTATGTATAAACTAGTATCTTTCTCCCAAATATAGACCACACGTAAACCAAAGGCAGACAGCACGACTTCCCATGTGAGTTATAAAAACTATTTCATGTTAACGACACCACTTCTGAGTTATAACAAAACGGATCCAATTGTATTTCTTTTCGACATTCGTCTATCTTGTTGTATTTATTTACCACTCGTGTATAAAAAGGACAACCATTTCCCTTCTCCAAAATAATGACGATGATAAAAAAGAATGCAGCACCACCTCATTAGCTCTTTCTTTTTCTTATAGACACATTTTTCTCAGTTGTAAATTTAATCGAGGTTCAAGGTCCGCTTCAGCTTTATTAATAAAGAACTGTCTATGTAGCACCTTTTGAGTTGAAACTGATCCTGTTTCTTTTTGCCATGAGGCGTCTTTTATTCCATTATTTTTTTCACAAATAGACCACAAGAAATCCAACGACAGTAGCATGGACGTGGAAGGTGAGTCACTAAACGAAACGTTAATCGGTTTTCTGTAATTAAGATATCATAATCTGAAAAAAAACTGGATCCTCAGTTACAATTCAATTTTAATCCATACTTAAGAAGGGCATCATTTCTATCATCCTGACACATGGGTCTGCATGGAGGGGCACTACTCAGTTACTGGATAATAAATTTGATGGATTTTGTAACTTTGTAACTTTTTGTAACTAAAAATGTGCTAATTTAGAAAATAATACTGGCCTTTGTTCTTGCCTTTTAGAGGTTTTTGTACAAACTAGTATTTTTCTCCCAACTATAGACAACACGTAAACCAAAGGCAGACCGTACGACTTCCTATGTGAGTTATAATAACTTTTTCTATTTCTAACTAACGACACTACTTGTGAGTTTTAACAAAACGGATCCAGATGTATTTTTCTTCGACATTCATCGATATTGTTGTATACGTTCATCACTTGATTGTCAATGTATTAAAAGGACTTCCTTTTCCAAATGACAAAAAAAGATGTAAGCACCACCTCATTTGTTCTTTATTTCGAATGGACACCACATTTTTCACAGTTTCACTGTTCTTTATTTCGAATAGACACATTTTTCACAGTTTCACTGTTCTTTATTTCGAATGGACACATTTTTCACAGTTTCACTGTTCTTTATTTCGAATGGACACATTTTTCAGTTTCACTGTTCTTTATTTCGAATGGACACATTTTTCACAGTTTCACTGTTCTTCATTTCGAATGGACACATTTTTCAGTTTCACTGTTCTTTATTTCGAATGGACACATTTTTCACAGTTTCACTGTTCTTTATTTCGAATGGACACATTTTTCAGTTTCACTGTTCTTTATTTCGAATGGACACATTTTTCAGTTTCACTGTTCTTTATTTCGAATGGACACATTTTTCACAGTTGTAAATTTAGTCAAGGTTTAAGGTCCGCTGCGGTTTTAGTAAGGAATGTCTATGTAGCACCTCTTGAGTTAAAACTGATCCAGGTATTTTTGCCATGAGGCGTCTTTTATTCTATATTTTTTTTACAAACAGACCACAAGAAATCCAACTACAGAAGCGTGGATCTGGAAGGTGAGTCACTATAAGTTTGATCGGTTTTCTGTGATTAGAATATCATCATTTTAAATTGTTATTAATCTATTGTTCTCGTGATTTAAATGACCACATGACAACATTCACACCCCTGACATAATGAATGTACACAAGTATTCTAAACAAAAAAGTGAAACATGTTTGCACCCCGCTAAATGAAAGGTAGCTTATAAACTCATCAGCAAATAAGAAAGGTATGTATATATTCAATTCATGTAGAATAAAGATACTTAGTTTACTTACTAGTATCCAAGTGTTATATATATCTGATTTACAACTTTTTGCAGTCACAAACGTAATAATCACTGTCAATTAAAACAAGGATGTTAATAAAGTATTTCAATGTTCCAAACATTGAGAAGTTAAATGCAATATGTAGAACCGTATGGCAACAAGTATTTTACGTTTTGGGAACACATTGAAAGAAGCGATGTCTGTACTTTGCAATGTGAATAAAACCAATATTTAATCCATACCTATGGTATGGACTGAAACAATAAGCAGTTACCGAAGTACACGTTTAGGAAAAAATCAATTCCAAACATGAATACATAGTTTTCTGGTAAAGATTATGACTTAAATATGATTTAATCAGAAGCTACTTTAAATAGGATTTAAACAAAGGCTATAATTATTCTTTGTTTTCATTTCAATTTATTAGTAAATAATTTTATAAAGGTAAAACAGTTTAAAACGGCAAACCACGTGCAGATTTAACTTAGGACGAGTAGAAATATATTTGATATAGTTGAGATGGGATGTGTCATATAAAAATGATCATTTATAGTGCAAAAACCTTTTGTTAATTTTTTTTTTCTTTAGTTACGTACCACAGATGGGACGACAGTACCGGTACGTTGCAATTTTTTTTAATCCTAAACAAGGGAAATCGTAGATTTCAAACCTCCGGGTTTTTTTGTGTTCTATTGGTTTAGGTTATATGTTTGTGTGTAGTATGAAAGTTATGTGCGTAATATGTTTGTATGTGTTTGATGGCTACTGACGGTTGGTTCGGTATGGACTGTTGATTAACGTGTCTCACAGTCTGACAGCCTGCACCGTCACCCGCGCCATTACCCCCGCCGTCATCCCGCGCCGTCATTGCTGCGCCGTCACCCAAAATTTTTATCGGAACCAGACACCCCTCTGTTTGACCCCTTTTGAATGCTAAGACCCAAAACTGCAACCGCCCCATTCCTTAACAACATGGTAATTACCATTTTCAGCATGGCGGGGGTGTCCGGAGCACTTAAAAACATTTTATTTCGACGCCCATAAACACATATGCAATTAAACAAAACGTTCTGCATCATCTGCAGCCCAATAGCAATACGTATACCGAACCACAGACAAATCCGTCCAGCCGATCGCGAGAAACAGCTGCTGACAGAAATGTTTCGAACCATAGTAAAACCTCCTCGCGGAAGGATATCTCCTTCCCCGAGGTAATAAATATTAACATTTATAATGTTGTTATTTTATTTAACGGATTGCAGTTTACCTCAACGAACTCGATCAGTTTTTTCTAGTAAGAACTATAATAGATAAAATGTATTTTACCATCAGCTTATCTCGTGTTTGTTAATAAAAAAAGTACATATTTATCTTACGTTACATTTCTCACGATATGATATTCACTCGTGCACTGTAGCTTGGTTAAAAGATAGTCATTGTAGAGCCTCCAAAATTGATGTTTTGTTCATTGACTGGTTTACCGTTTCAAACACACAGACCACACGTGTTGTCACGACGGATGAAGTAAAATGGGCGTGGGAGGTGGGTGTCAATAAATTCGCTCCGCCTTCCGGTTTAATTAAAAGATCGCTCTAACACTCTGTTGACAGGACGATGAATAGAAATATCTTGGTAAATTTTGAAATCAAATCGTACTTCATCGTGTAATCGTCTATTTTTAGAATGGAAGTTTACATGCAGACAATTAGAATAAATCCTGTTGATGTCTTTTTTTAGTCACATACCACAGTCAGGACAACAATACCGGTGAGTTTAAATATTTTTTTAGTAAATTCTGTCAAGTAAAAAAAAAATTCAGACATTTAGAACGATGTCCATCCTTTTCATAAAGCCGTTTGCAAACAATTCCATTATCATTAGTAGAATTATCATTGTTTCCTTTTATTTATATCTCAATGAATGAAAAAAGGAAAGTACATTTTACAACCAACCTATGTAATTTATTTCTTACCAATAATATACACACTATCTAACATTCTCAAGATTTAGCTTAATTAATTAATTGTCAGAGTAGAAACTCTCCTAAACAATCCTGGCATCTCTGCTTTTATGAATTTATGAAATCGTTATGTTGTTTTGATTTTAATACACAGTCCACGGTCATCCCATCGACCATAGAAGAGAGGTGGACACACACCACAGACAGGACAAAATCGGTGCGTTTGAATATCACTTTAAGTACATTCAGTCAAGTATTTACTGTTTGTAAAATTTATGTTAAATTAAGATTAAATCTAGATTTTCATTTTGTCACGTGAGTTTCAATGAACTACGTGTCATCAATATAATAAAATTAATATAGTAGTAAACTCGATTCAAAACAGATTTTTCAAATTGCTGTATCAAAGCATTTTTTCCAACTCTTAATATGCTGGAAGAATATGGAATTTAAATCAATCTAATCTTCAAATATGTTTTCATTGTTTATCTATTAGAATACAGAAGAATACACAACAATGATACTGACGGCGCCCGTGTTGGTGAGTTGTATGTGCAGATTGAAGCATAAAGAATTATGAAATTGTCATCATATCATCATATAGTTTAAATGCTACAACTATTCGCAAATTCTATCTTTTACTATTGCGAAATAAATGTCTCCGACCCACAATGATGTACTCTGTATCTCAGGAAATGAGCCCTGTGCTGTACCCGTACGCACGGCTTGCGGGGGATACGGTAGCTCCTCGAAATGACGAAGGAGGAGAGATGATATCTCTGTCCATAGCATTGCCATACTTCGACCGTCTGCACAACTCTCTATGGGTGAATATTGTTTTCTGTTACTCTACCTTTGTTGGATAGGAAGACTTTTAGGTTAGCCTCTACAAATAGCTACCAATTCCACTCTTTCCAGCCGCTTGCAAAGATATATTTTTGTAACCATGGTAGAGGCTATGGCTTAAGCTTGGTGACAAAAATGCGGTATTGTCATCGATCGCGCGAGTTACTTTACTGTCATTGGACATTGCAATTTTTGTCTGTTCTGTGATGGGGTAGTGTCCATACGTCATCGGCAAAGCTTGTTCTCATTTTCAAACGCTTGCTTAAATATGCCGTTTTATTTTTTTCATTCAATGTTTACCAGTTATATCCTTACAAAATATGTATGGATTTAGACTAGTAGGCTTGTTAAGATCATGACCTCGGAATAGCTACATCTGGTTACCTTAATTATCGTCTTGTATATGGCCGTTGCCATTTGACACGCCCATCATACGTTCATCACAAACATCCGTTAATACCACAATGTTTCGTGCCGTAGAGAGTTAGAGTAATGGGATTTAGGCTTTTTGACTCGGCTGTGAATTAGTGCTTGTGCTCTGCTCTTTTTTTACCTTTTCATTATAACCGTGCCATCGTGTATCTGCAAATGAATTGCTGTTTTATACGTTTTCGATGTTTCTGTCTCTCATGAAAAGTCATAATACGCTCCGATTTGTCACCGAACATTCATAGAGTCTGCAGTGACCATTTTAATGGCAACGACCTTTTATGACAAACAAGGCCAATAGTATAGAGGCTGAAAGGAATAGATTAGATGGAAGGAATAGATTTAAGTCGGCACCACGTACTCGAATGCAATTTTTCACCATTTTGATTGGTCTACAGGTGAACACCAATGGGGTGATATCATTTTTGGACGAGCTTTGGCAGTACACCCCTGATCCCTTTCCATTGGGTGACGGAAGGCGCTTGATAGCTCCCTTCTGGGCCGATGTAAACACATGGCTAGGAGGGCATGTGACGTACCGTGAGACAACGGACAGTGACATTCTTGAACGCGCCACGACAGATGTCACCATGGCCTTCCCTGAGCTACATAACTTTCAGGCGACATGGGTGTTCATCGCGACTTGGCATCGAGTGTCTTTTTATTATAGCACAAGTAACAAGGTACGTAACAAGGCTAATGTTTTTCAAATAACTTTGTTAGCATTAACATTTTAAATGTCTTGGGGTGGTGGGGCTACGGCGCACAGATAGATCAACTTTGTGTATTTAAATGTTAATTGTACCTTTTTGTTGTGTGGCGCTGTTAATATAAGTTATAAACTTGAGTGCAGCGCCACAATGTTTTCACGAATTAAAAAAAAACAAGGTACGTTATTTTGCCTCGAACGTTAACATTTTAATTAACATAGCAGGTTTTGTGGCAAAATTTCCATTTCATCATTTATTGTTTAACAACTTCAAAAAACATCATCAACTTGAAAAGTTGAATTTTTAGTTCTTTTCTTTTTTTATTTAGACTTTAAACGTTGAAAAAATTGAAACATTGTTTGACGTTTTGGGCTTTTGCCTTCTTTCTTGAAGAGAAACACTTTCCAGGCAGTCCTGGTGTCAAACGGCAGATACGCATTTACCATTTTCAACTACGGCGACATCACATGGACCTCGGGTACAGATAGTGGAGGAGATCCAGAAACGGGTTTGGGAGGAATACCTGCTCAGGTTAGTCGTTTATCTAGGTGAATTTAGAAAACCAATGTTAAGTGCATTTCGCAAGGAAACGAGATCGGCGGCATAGGAAGATTCGAACCCAAGACCTTTTGGTTCTGACTCGAGCACTCTGCCGTTACGCCACAAGAGCCCACATTGACCGCTGGTATTTTCTAACACAGGTTGGATTCAATGCCGGTAACGATGTAGACTACTTTTCTGTCCCCGCCTCGCGAACTGATGCCATTGTAGACATTGAGGAAACATCAAATGTCAACCTTCCAGGCCGCTGGGTGTTCCGCATAGACAGCGCAGTCATTCAGGAAGGTGGATGCCACGAAGAAGGTATGTTGTAAACTAGAAAATTAACATGTGCAAAGCAAATGCATGATGTTTACCTTCGCATATGGTCTGCTCTGTTATTTCTTACTAAAACAAATTCACATATATGGTGACAAGAGTCTAAATCCCTCCTACTATGAAATTGCAACATTATGTAATCCAACACCAGTTGACATAGTGGCAGACGTTAACAAACCTGGTCATTTGCCAGGTTAGAGGTCACTGTTTGGAGAAAAAGAGGAAGAAACTGAGCAAAAACAATGTGTTTTCTTCGGTAAACATAATAAAAACAAAAAAAGTAAACCATCTCAATCCGTTGCTCGGTATTCTAACATCACATTTTGATTGGATTTGATTAATCTCAATGGGCATGAATATATTTTGTTTTACATGATGTCTCATGACAACACCGCAGTAAAAACAGTAACAAAAACAGTAATAAATGCACATTCATTCAGTTGCCAAAACTACATTCCTCATAGAAGATTCATTTGCCAGTTAGATAGGCATATTTAGGTCCAACAAAAGTACACATATAATTATAACCAAACGTTGATGCACGTGCACACTCTAATAATTTCCTGACATCTTCTCACAACAGGGGCAATCTCCATTTTCCCATTCTTCGGGACCATGTTGGGTGGAACAAAGGTTTTGATATCGGGGCCCTGCTTTGACGATTCAAATGTCAACATCTGGTGCAAGTTCGGGGATAAAGATCCGGTTCGTATTACATTTTCCATCACCTTCACTTCATGAAGTATATTTCTTTTTTACATTCAGTCATTTTAGTTCGTAAAATTTTTAGCATAGCATGGAGATTAGACAACCAAGAGAAGATACTGGAGGAATGGAAAAAAATGAAAGCTACAATAAGGCGTGGTCGTAGTACGATGATTCTATATCTATATTTTATATTCTATAGAATTAGAAAAATGCAATACACAGTACAACGCAGAATGGGTATTGCATGTCTGTCAGCCATTTTATTTTCTTATGAAATCCATAACGGTTTAATATCCAATTACAATAAACAAATTCTAATACTAAAATGCAAAACGAATTGGATATAATGAAATGACAGATGATCGTTTCACATTCATTTTCTTTATATTCTTTTTGCCCTGACCTCCAAATCCGTATGATAGATAATACAGCTATAGAACAGATCTAGACTACTGCTTTACTCTTAGAATAAAAGAAGATGCTTAATACATGTTAACATTTTTATACTCAGGTATCAGGCTGGGTTGAGAGTAACATAACAGCAGCCTGCATCTCGCCATTTCTCGCTGTCCCTGGTAGGATTCCGTTACTGTTCTCCACAGATGGTGGGAATACTGTCCATGACGCTGTATACACATCAGGTGCGTTGAAGGCTTTGACATCATCAATATAAAATAATTGAAAATGAAATTTCTTCTGTGATGACCCGTCCTACTTATAGTAAGGTAAGAGATGCACTGTTACAGACTAGTACTACTAAAAAACAGACATCACCCTATCTTGTACACAGAACATAGTTTCTTTGCGTTGTTGTCATGTCCAACTCCTATACCCATCTACATAGGCCGTTTTTTTAATAATCAACTTAAAAAGTGAGACTAAAACATTCATATAAGACTACATGGTAATATATATTGTTATCTATAATATTTTGTAGTTGTGATTAACCAGTTGTAGGGTGGATTAGCCCTATTGAGTGACTTCAAGGCATTGGACCATGTACGATCGTTTAACAATAAAGTTCCAATATTTTGCGAGATAGTCACACTAGCTCTTTACATAACACAAAGTAAACTTGATTTGAAATTATATTGAAATTTCATCCGTGTTAGTAGTAACCATAGTAAAATGTTGAATTTTATTCTAACACAAGTACAGAGAGATAACATTTTCAACGATCACTGTGGACTTCATCTAGTATATCTGGAGACTCAATCACTTGATAGAGACGGTGCCCGATATAAACTACCTATCACATTTAATCAATTGCTAACGCCGCGTATTCGTAAAATATTTTGTGAATAAGGTCAGGTGCCTTTAACCGCTACTCAAGCTTACGTTCCGAACTAATTGGTCATTCATTATCCTAAATAAAGTGACAGTGGTCGTTGAAAATTTGATCTGATTTCTAAGTACTTGGTGCTGGAAGTTGAACATTTTGCCATGATTACTAAACATTGTCTTTGTCACTGATCACAGATGAACGTTTATGAGAATTTAAAATTAAGTTTATTTTGTGTTATGTAAACGGCTGGTGTGACTATCGATCTCGCAAATTATCTCTCAAAATATTGTTTAGCGATCGTACACGTCAGTGCATTGAAGTCACTTATTGGGCTAACCTACCCAACAACTTTAAATATTATCGATTATATAGTAAATATATATATATATATTGAGTTTATTGACTTCGTTCACAATTCAGTAAACTACATGGCAGCTTCATTTGTGTACAAAGATGCTGAATTGCGCATTTTACATAATTAACATGATAACAAATCAATATCTATATTACAAGATCAACATGATAAATTAAAAACTAGTAAACAATGACATTAAGATGATAACATTAAAAGAAATTGAAAAGGTTCTTAATAAGCTGTAATAATTGATGCAATAATTGACACTTGGAGATTTTAACAGGTATATTTGTTCAAGAGGTAAGTGAAGTACGGAATAGGGCTGTTTTTGTAGCGGTTTGTTTTTGCCAGAGGGATGCAGAGTTGCTGGGAACTTTTAAGGTTTTTAGCATTAGATTATAGATTTAGATTTAGATTGTAATCTATGTTACAATGTAGTCTTATATGTGAATGTCGTAGTCTCATGTGAATGTTTTCTGTTTTACATTTTACTGTAAACTTGATTTCAGTTGATCCAAATCGACTTGTGGCGGAATTGGAAGTTACGGAAAATTCGGATGAGACCATAACCATTGAATGGCATCCCTTCAACATTGATGACAACGTGGTCAATGTGCGCTTACATGGGTTTGATGAAGTTACCGGGACATGGAACATAATTTCACAGTTGGCCACTAGTATTCCAAATACAGGAAGCTACACTTTATCTACTGTGGATGGGTGGATACCAATCACCGTTGTGAAAACTGGCGCCATTTCAATAGTTGCTGGGAATGGAATATCTAGGTAAAACCTTTAACTATACAATAAAGTGTGTTGCTAGTCGGTATCTATTACATGTTGTAGTTGTTAAAATTAAAAAAAAAAGTTATGCTTTTGTATGTATTTGTCAAAATGCATATCCAGTTTTAAATATATGTTGTGTGGTCGTGTGGCGTAGCGGCAGAGTGCTCGACTCGGAATCAAGAGGTCCTGGGTTCGAGTCCTGACATGCCACTGATCCTGTGCCCTTTAGAAAGGCACTTTACACGACTTTCCTCACTTCGCTCAGGTGAAAATGAGTATTGTATTGTTCCCTGTGTTTGTGGCGGCATTAATATAAGTTGGAAAAACGTGAGTGTGCCGTCACCACGTCTTGTGATTAGATGTTGGAATATATATATTAAATATATGTTGATAATTTCAGGGTGCTTTACGGAGCAATAGGAACATACATTGCAGTAAAAGCTACCGCGCCTTCTTTGTGCCAATCATGGTACAATGAGGATAGCCTGCTTCCCGACTTTTTGGAAGAGCTGTCCAGGGACTTCCCGTGCCCGCGCAGGTTGAACCAGGCCCTGGAAGATACAGGGTCATTCCAGCCTGATCCAGGTTGTTCTTCTGAGTCATCAAGCTCAACGAACTGCCTCTACCACCCCGGAGCTCACCATTGTGTGCTGTCAATTGGTCAAACGTAAGTTTACTGCACATCAAATGATACAACATCATCTTTTCTTTATATTTGCTAAATCGAAAAAAAAGGACTGTTATTATGCTAAAGATCAATCAATGAATCATCCGCTTGCATAAGTAAGTAATATGAATACCATGTATATAAGAATAGAGCCTCTGATTTGATGGAATCTCCTAATCCAGTTAGCAACGTTGCATGCGGAGGTCCCGATTGGAGTCTTCGAAGATATTCGTTTAAAGACAGTCGGAACATTTTAACTTTAATTCATGTCACTTTAAAAAAATGAATTGACTTGAAATTTAAGGTTTGTAAATGGGAAACCGCTATAACACATTAGCAGGATAATGCCCACAAAGAGCTCTATCATGATACCATGACATACATACTTGGCCAGTTTATTCATCGATATCGATACATTTAGTGTACAACAACGATACAGGGTACAAAATATGGCAATTACTAGTACATATTAACTATACTGTCATAAGCCTAACCTAACTAATACGAGACTGTGTGGGTAGTATGTGATAGGTATGAAGTTTTACAATCGTTGGAGGAACTTCTAATATCTATATCTTCTTTAACATATTAAACCTTACTTTACCGAATAATCGTAGTTTCGGTAATCGTAGTCACTATAAAACCCTCCCTATTATTCTTGTTTTTTAAAGGTCTCAGGGTTCTGGTCAGCAATGTTGCTACAGTGAAAGTGGACAACTTCTGTTGGATGGACAGGGACGGGGGACACCAGACAGGGTGCACCCATCATTGATACTGCGGTGAGATATCTACTTATCATTATCTCCGGGGTAATGGCATCCTTCAGCGGAGGGGTTTTGTATTTGATCGATATACGTTTGCAGCAGTAACTCGAGGTGGGTTGTTCTTTAGATCTGTGTATATGGTTACGTATTGGGGTCCAGCTGATGCGGATAACATTTTTTTAAATTGTATCTGTGTTTTAGAGTATCAAAATAAAATATTTTTACACCCCCGATCGTGTTGATACTGGGTAACGTTTCATGGTGCCAGCTGTACATGTTGCAATAGGGTCAGCCGAAATCCCCCAGTTTCTACCATTTTTGAAGTGTGTTGAAATAAAGATGTTTGCAAAGGGGCTACTGACCAGTTTGTTACACAGCATCTGTTACATGTCATTTACTGTCACAGTGAAGTATACCAAACTGGGCCCTGGGATTATCCTTTATTGTAAATTACGATTGTGGCATCACCCATTTTTTCTTCTAGTGTTACTGTTAAGTAATATTTGAAATTTACATCGATTATTGTGATTATCATATGCGTCATATAGATCCCATCGGTTTAGAGTCTCAGATTTCTTGTTCTCATAAAAAGTATTTATAATAATATAAACACTTTTGCATCTAATCTACTAAACGCTGCCATTTGTTAATAAATTACCTCCAACAGTCATTTTGTAGCTGACGTCTACCCTTGGAACGTTTGTTGCAAACTGTCCAGCAACTGTGACCTGTACTTTGTACTACGGCCAGCCAACGATGCAACCGGCTATGTATTCCCTTGGCCAGGTATTCTTATATAATTGTATATTATATTATTTTATAGATCTTAATAAACCAAACCAAGTAACGACGATTTTGATTTGATTTATGGAAATTGCAACAGTACAATATACGTGGGACACAAGGAGCTGTTGCTGGTGTTGTGTCCCATATATATATTTATTATTAAATACAAAACGGACAATACTCATTTTCACTTGAGTTAAGTCGGGAAAGTCGTGTAAAGTGCCTTTCTCAAAGGCACAAGATCGGTTGCATGTCAGGACTCGAACCCGGGACCTCTTGGTTCCGAGTCGGGCACTCTGCCATGGCGCCACACGACCTCGTTTGTAATGTTTTTCAGCCTGGACCTTTGGTGATCCCCACTTCATCACTCTTGATGGCGTCTCGTACACCTTCAATGGAGCTGGAGAATTCTTGTTGCTCGTCGTAAACAACGGACAATTCAGCGTGCAAGGCCGGATGGAACAGCTAGCAAGCAACGGTAAGACTTCGTGCAATGATGAATATTCAACAATCTAGGTGTCATTCAACAAGTAATACTGAACTAATGCGTTCACTAAATGTTAATCACTAGCCTAGATTCAGTGCACACGTACAGTTACTCTGATGACAGTTAGTGAGACTAACGATTGATTTTAAAAAAGCGTGGTTATGAAAAGATTTTCTATTCAATAATTCACTTATCTTATGAACTCCCTCTTCTGCTTTGAAGGTTCTGCTTTGAGCGCTACGATCCTCACTGCCTTAGTGATGAAGGAAAATTCATCGGAAACTGTGCAGGTGCAGCTGAGTGAAGTACGCACCATGGACGTCCTTGTTGATGGGCATCTGCAGGACTTCCAGGAACTAACTGTACAAGAGTTCAACGGTAAGTGGAAACCGATATATCGTTTTCTACTGACTCATTCTTTTTAAAACTCTTGTCCTGCGGGTCCCATATATATATATATGGGTTGCACATCTATATAGCACCCTGTATAGGTACGATTTGGGGATATTTCTCGTGCAACGCATCACACCGCAGCGAAACGCAACGAATGCGGAAGTAACTACGCCACCGCGGGGCAAAAAAATTCAATGGTCTATGACCTGATTAAGATATCAAATTATTTGTAAATATTGTCTAAAAATTGCCAGCAGGACAAGGGTTAAAGAGGCCGCATTTACTCAGTAATTGTCAAATGTTGAGGTCTGGGTTGAAATCTCTGGTGCTTCCAATGCTGTCCTTTCAGTATAAAACTATTTATCTTAAAATTTCTTAATATGTATAACAAAAATATGCACCTTCGACTAATCGCTTTTTGAGCAAGGTCTTTTGATAGAGGCTATTTGTATTCACGGTTTGCCTTCATAGGATTAGGGTGAAAAGTAATATATAAAGTTTCTTTCCCGCATCTGCAATGATGGATAAAGGCGCCAATTTGAGAAAAATAATGTAGGTCCTTGCTGAGTGTTTTCCGCAAGTATCTCATGATAGGATTACCATGTAACTTCATCTGTGTCATTATAGTAAAACGCTGAACTTTATTCCAACACAAAAATATACAGGTATCAAATTTGTAGCGACCATTGTCGTCTTAATCAGGATAAGTAATGACCAATCACTTCACAACGTGATCTCGCGAGAGTTACGGTTATAGATAGGTGACCTTATTCACACGAGACTTTACTGATACGTGATTTGAGCAACTGATCAAAAGTGCCAGGGAGTTTATATCGTGCACCATCTCTATTAAGTGAAGGCTGAAATGCTCTGATATATATGGCCCTCTTGATGCATCTAAAAAGTAGTCATGTTCAGTGTCCAGTATTCTTATTTCTGTTTTATCACTGTATAATTTGTGTGTTGGAATAAAGTTCAGCGTTGTACTATCTCATGATTAGGTTTTATGGTGACTGTGGAGACTGCCTCTGAAGCTCGGATTTCCTTCAACTCCGGCATCGGTGTGGCAGTTCGCGCAGTGGAGGACATGCTGTCCATCGCCGTAACTCTGCCGCGCTTCGCGAGAGGCAACACAGTCGGGCTGTTAGGGAAGTGGAACGGAGACCCTGCAGATGACCTGACTACGCCAGACGGCGCCGTTGTCCCTGCTGATAGCAGCACGCAGGACATCCACTACCAGTTTGGATTGCTGTGTGAGTTAGAATTTCACGTTCCCCGTGACTGCTTGCCATAGGGCCCCCGTAGGTTTATGGTTGAGTAAAGGGTAACGGGCCTTGATGGTAATAATCCCTTTTACCTCTCTCATGACCTAGTCTTGTTCTTTTTTTATTAACTTAATAGCTCATACCAATACAAGGCTCATAGGAGCCACTTAAATGTTTTGGGTTACTGTACAGTCAGTGAGGACAGATGTTTGTTGACATTAGACTTAAAGTATAAGGTTGAACCCATGTGGAAAACAATCACGTGGTAGCTTGTTCTATAGTGATGTTGTTCTAGGAAAGAAGCTATCAGCGTAGAACCTCCTTATAAGAGGTGGTGTAAGGAGGAAGAAAGGGTGTTCAGTGTCTAGTATTCTTACAGTTTCCAAAGAAACAGATCGGCAATTTTAATTGCGATACATTACATAGGCGTTCATATAGCAAATAGGTACAGTATAATAAACATACTATATTTATGCAGGGATGATTTCTGAGGAGGACTCTCTGTTCACCTATGGACCAGGACGAAACTACAGCAGTTTTTCCGATCCTGGGTTCACTCCTAGTTTTGTATCACCGTCGGTGGATCCGGAGTTTCAGGTAAATTCTGTTTACATTTGATGCTAAAAAGATGTCTTAAGATTGCACATGTAACAGTTTGAATTCAAAGATACAGTTAAACATCCCCAGGCGACCGATTATACTAATCTCCTAGCCATGAAAATCGTTTTTCTTGGCCCCAATAGTTGCTTAGAGGCCCCTTGTCGTTTGAGATGTCATTCACCATTTTCTTTAGATATGATTAACAATCATCCACTGCTTTTCGACTTTTATTGTACACATAACAAAACGCCTGCAGCAACCAAGAAAAATGACAGGATCATTTTTAAACTCGAACTATGATTCGTAATCGCTACTCAACTTCCAAATATCATAAAGATGCATGTACAGCTTCTCGGTTTATGAAGAACACAAGTCATACAATTACCAACTGCATTAAAACCCCACTTCAGTACCTCTGGAAAAAGCCAGGTGGACCATTTTGTAACTAGACCCTTTTCCACAATAGATATTAATATAGTAAATATCAATAAGAACTATCCACAACTACTTGAGTTTTGACGTTGACATACATACAGACCCACACCATCGCTGCTCCACCAGGCCCAAACCGAAAACATAGTACCCATCTGACAAGGTCGGTATTATGTGTTCTAGGCTGCAGCAGAAGAAGTATGCGGAGACAATCAAGCCTGTCTTTTTGATGTACTCATAACCGGAAGGTTATCAGTTGCAAATGTATCAATCCGAGCCGTCCAGGAGTATACTGAACAAGTAGAAGGTGCGTAAACAAAATACAGTTAACAACAAAAAAAACGGACTACGTGGGCTTTGAAAAAGATTTTCTGTAACGAACTTTCTGTTATGGAATGTTGGAAATTAAGATTACTTGATTTTAATAAAGCTTTTTTGGCGTTCTTTTCAAAAAGGCTCATTTGAAAGAATTTTTTCTTAAAAAAATGTTAACTTACTTATTTAAAATCTCTTTTGCTCACAAACATTTATTTCCCAAATACAATACAAGAAGATAAAAGAATTTGACACTGTTCTGTACAAGCTGTTGCTTCCAGTAACAAACCAACACGGTTACAAGACACGCTATGCAAGCAGAAACACATTCAGACTGCCAAAACCAACGCCAGGAACAAGACTTTTATGTATACAATGTAGGTCTGTCTTAACATGGACCACTTTGCCTGATGGCGTTAAATGCGCTAGTAAGTGTAGGTTTTTTTCAGGAGCTCGTGATGTACATCAACGAGTCTAATTGATTTTCCATGTTGTAATTGTAAATATTAGATGTTAGCCTTCATGTAGTTTGTATGTCCTTGTTCTATGTTTTTACGGTCCAGGAAGATTAGCTGCGTATTCGTGTATTTGTGTACGACAGCTAATGGACTGAAGAAAGTATCCAAGTATCCAAAGGATATATTCTCTACTTCCAGAGTTATTCACCTGTGGCTCGCTGGACCCCCCTGATGTTGCCGGTACCCTGGTCATCTCTAACTACTCTGTCGGTTCGGTTGCCACATTTGAATGTGAATACGGGGTACTGGCCACGCCCTGGGAACGCGTCTGCCAATCAGATGCAAGCTGGAGTTATGCCCCTCCCCCGATCTGTGGTAAGCAGTGTTTCAAGTTAGCGCTGCGTTTATGGGGTTGCTATTACTCACCAAAAATGTGCTAGCAGGTCTTTCATGAAGCACTATTAGTTATTGAAAACTAAGGTAAACTTTACACTTTGTTTACGGGAGGACTGTATCATCTTTCTAATGTTGTACTTATGCTTTAAAACTGTTGTTTTAAAATATCTATTTATATATTAAAGCATGTATCTATATATTCATAGAACTATGTTACTAACAGTTTGTTTGGATTCATTGTGTTGCAATTATATATAAAGAACTTTATTGCACGATAATTGCACATGGTACGATGTATGGCAAACTACATAAAGAAAGTAACAAACAATAAAATAGATGTGTTGAATAAGACCTTATGTCGAATAAAACCCAACATATCTTAATTACTCAAACTATAAGGGATAGCACACTATGTTTGTCTTTTTCCTTAGTAACAAAGAAGTTTAAGAGCATGCACTTGGGCGGGGGAAGGTTGACAGACAGAATGACAGAAATTCAAACACAGGAAATACGGTAGCCTCAAAAATTTACCACGTCAAACTCTGCAATCTTTGCTTTCTTGCTATAGATGTTGAGTGTCCGGTACTGATGTCCCCGGACAACGGTGCGCTGAACTCAACTGACAATTTTTACCCGGATGTGGTGGAGGTATCATGCGATGATGGGTACGAAGCCTCCCAGGCTACAGTCACCTGCCAGGCCAACGGCACCTGGACAGGTGCTCCCACCTGCAATGGTGAGTCACATGTGCATATTAGATACATTTTGATATGTAACAACATGTTTTAAGGTTTTCTAAGCACTTTATCAGATGACGTCATTGAGTTTACTAGTACAAAGCCAAGTAAGAAATTGTTTAATGTTTTGGAACATGTTTACAGATGGGAAAAGAAGCGGAACCCATGCACGAAAATGAGTTTCAGTTGCTTCAGTTTTGGTGCAAATTAGACTATTTTCCATTCCATATTGCTTAAAATCACGAGGATTTGTTGAATATGAATAACTAAAAAGAAAATTAAAAGCCTCTTGTTCTTGTTTTGACACAAATACTATCACGTTCCCTTGCTTCAGACATCGACGAATGTTTGGAAGTCACACATAACTGTGACGCTTACGCTGCCTGTGCCAACACACCCGGGTCATTCACCTGTGCCTGTAATACTGGATACCAAGAAGATGGTATCACGTGTTCGGGTATGTACATGTATTGCGAAGCGATGCTTTAAATTGTCGCTCTTGCCTGTGGATCGCCAAGTAAAATGATGGGCACATATTTTTGTTTATATTCTGTGAAGAAACTGTACCTCGGGCTTTTTTTTCCCACTAGGTTAAAATTCGTAAATAATTTCATCAGATTGGTAAACTAATGATTAGTTAAGTTTTTTTATCACAACAATTTATTTTTTTTACAAGCCGACGTTTCGATGACCGTCTGCCATCTTCATCAGGGCAATTCTGACTGGTTTGCTATGCACTGACGCTAGATGTTACTTGGTGCATAGTGCACTAAACGTGACAGTGCACAGCAAACCAGTCAGAATTGCCCTGATGAAGATGACAGACGGCCATCGAAACGTCGGCTCGTAAAAAATAAATAGTTGTGATCAAAGAACTTTACGATTCATAGGATGAAAGTGTTCTGATCGAGGATTCGTGGCTCGATCCAGACAGTTCTCTCTTAGTGGGAAAAGGGTTTACAGTCACTATTGTGTTGCAGATATCAACGAATGCGTCGAGGGTACCCATAACTGCCATTCCGACGCCATCTGTATCAACAACCAGGGTTCCTTCAGCTGTGCCTGTAACACCGGCTACTCTGGAGACGGCGTGGTTTGCACAGGTACGTTAGGATATGCGTGTCTTTAAAAACAAGCATGACTATGTTATGCTTTTATCTCATTCACAGATGATTATGAAGCTTCAAAGTTTGAGGTCAAATTTTCTAGAAGTGCCAGGCTAATGAATTTTAAAAGCCTTTGGGACCGGGTGTAGGTGATTTTAAGTTATGTTAATTCATGTAAATATGCCCCTTAGCAGGTTGCTTCAAACATACTAGGGTTTAAATCAGGGTTTTTTTTTGCAGTGAAATTTTGTAAAGAAATGCTAAAATGGCCTTATTTGCTGAGGATGTTATTCGGTGTATTATATGTTTAATTAATACAATTAAAGGAGATAAGAATATTGTCTGCATGATAAATTGCAATTTTTCCGTCTAAGGTAAACATCCATAGGTGAAGGTATGAGATCTTGGAATAAAAAAAACATTATTTTATTTCCTATTATCATTAATGTAAGTGTTTTGAAGAGTGCGTTCTGAAGTGAAATTGGAGAGCCATTGTGGCTTCTTTTCTGTCTGCCGCACGTAATTTTCGTGTTTGTGCTGTTGATATGTATTTTGTATTTCACTATATAATGTGAATAGATACATTTTAAAGACAATCACCTCCAACCATCTCGACTTTCAGCCATAGACTGCCGCCTGACTTTCCCGGGTAATGACGTGAACTTTGCCATCTACGACAACCGCTGTCACTGGTTCTCAAGGGGCAGTGAAGTATTTGACTACATGACTGCTGAACAGTTCTGTACGACTCGCGGAGGGAGACTGGTCACAGTCAAGGACTCTGCAAAACAGCAGTGGATCGAAAACTACATAATCAACAACCTGCCAAGAAGGTTTGTTTGTATAATTTCCTAACTTTGATTTTTTTTTTTTTACTCAGGTAAAATGAGCATGCCTGCTGTCCGTTTATGCGTTAGTGGTGGCATAAAATAAGTTTAAAAACTTGGAAGTAAAAAAAAAATGCCTCAATGTACTCTACACTTGCTACTGATGCTTAAAAAGAATCAAGGAATACAATGCGAAAAGCCAAGAATCCCATTTGGTGTAACTTTGCGTAGAGTTAGTTAGGAAGATAATTGTTTTTGTCCAATGCAGTTTTTTGGGATTGAAAAACTTTTTTTTTCAAAGTCAATATTGTATTTACTCATCTACATAGTAAGTTGAAACAACACTCTCCAATTTACATTGACATTCATGGAGCAAAAATGTCTAGAAATCTGATGGAAGACAACCTGTCACTGGTAGGATCCTGGGTTTATTTTTGGGGTGCCATCCAGAAAGTATTTATGACTCATCTTGGGGCTTGTTTCTGCGTTTAATACCCTAGCCTTAGTTTAAATTCCGATGCAAATGTGCCCTCAGATAGTGGCCAATGTAGGTTTTATGCTCTGAGAAGTACTACACAATAGCCGTTTGTCTTTAATCGTTTGAATTATACACACTGCATAAAAATTTAAAAAAAGGCAAATCAGAAGGATAACCTCGAAAATACTATTTCTGAAACGGACATAGGCTTATTCGGAACAAAGGGAGTGATAAACATGGGATGTTTTGAGGTGACCAATTCTCGTCATATTCATTTTTTTTACACAGGAACTTCTGGATCGGTTTAAAAGACCGCCACATTGAGAAGTCGTTTATGTGGAGTGACGGTACGTCTTTCAGCAATGGTGACTACAGCAACTGGCACCGAGTCGACAACCCGCCCAAACACCACAAACTCCGGGACTGCGTCATCATACATCGTGTTCGCAAGCAATGGGCTGTGGTTAACTGCAACAAGAAGCGGAACCGCTTCATCTGTGAAATGGGTGAGTGCTTCTCCTTTTTGTTTTCGTTCGAATTTTTGAAGCTTCAGAATCCATAGAAAAATTATTCGCATATCATTAGGTCTTCTTGAACACATTCATTTTATTGTTTGTAGTTGTTGTTTGTACTTTTGCCATACATTGTACCATGTACAACTGCATACAATAAAGTTCTACATATCATTTGACCCAAAGCATATATTTCCAGTTAAAATGTGATGAAGAATTGGGTGAACTTTCTATCTACCATGTTCGTAAGAAAATTCAAACTCTACTACTGGATCCAGTAGTAGAGTTTGAATTTTGATCCAGTAGTAGAGTTTGTATTTTCCTACGAGTATCGTTTACCTGGATGTCTAACCTTCATCAACGTATCTACCATGTTATTTACTAATCATAAATATTGTTTCGGCCTAAACCATATGTTGGATTTTTTTCCGAACAAATGCTGTTTGTCCTTTCTTATTTAGTTTGCTTTGGTTCGACAACGAAATTAATTCTACTTTTATTCATCTTCTGACTAATTTTTAAATTTCTCTGCTGATTAACCACCGTGGAAATGACTTCTTGTTAGATTTCAATTGGATTTGATTACTTATACTTTCTTCGTTTATAGCCAACCCCTAACCAACAAAGGGTGGATACCAAGCAACATTGACCTCCGTGGCTGAGGAGAAGTAAGCAGCAATCTATGAGATGAATTAAGAATCAACGCATTAGTAGCTAGTTACTCTACTTACATGTACCAAATTTACTCTACTACTAGATAAACCGATATCTATCTATCTATTTGTCTATCTATCTATCTATCTATCTATCTACTAGTATCTATCTACTAGTATCTTTCTATCTATCTATCTATCTATCTATCTATCTATCTATCTATCTATCTATCTATCCATCTATCTATCTATCTATCTATCTAGTATCTATCTATTTATATATCTATCTGTCTATCTATCTATCTATCTATCTATCTAGTATCTATCTATTTATCTATCTATCTATCTATCTATCTATCTATCTATCTATCTATCTAGTATCTATCTATCTATCTATCTATCTATCTATCTATCTATCTAGTATCTTTTTATCTATTTATCTATCTATCTATCTATCTATCTATCTATCTATCTATCTATCTAGTATCTTTTTATCTATTTATCTATCTATCTATCTATCTATCTATCTATCTATCTATCTATCTATCTATCTATCTAGTATCTATCTATCTAATAGTATCTATCTATCTATCTATCTATCTATCTATTTGATATCGATAAATAGATATATAATAAGAATAACATAATATGAACATATGATACTGTTGTAGTGGGGCAAGTGGTGCACGGGCAATACTTATGAAATGTGGCTCAGGACAATTTTACGTCTGTTTTTATCATTTTTTTTGTGCAAACGTATTGGTCATTTTTCTTCAAAACTAGTTAACTTTAATTATCATTGGGAAGAATATAAGAATTACAAATACAATTTGGATTCATACTTTTGCTTCTCTTCCTTTTAGTTATTATAAAATTCCGAACTTGACATTCAAACACTGAAATATTGCGTTTACCGCATGGTTCCTTTTGTTATACAAACGTAGGAAATCCAAGAGCTACCTAAACATTAAAATTATGTCCAAAAACATTAAAGATCTCTTCAGTCTGTTGTGGGATGTAAAGACTGGAATTGCCCTGAGCTATATTGGGTGCTAGGCATAGATCATTGTATTTATATTACATTTGCCACAATCAGTAAATACTATAACGTTATTTAGTAAGCATGAAACAGCTGATAATTTTATCATACACTTGCAAGCTGATATGATGTTTGTACTACATAAGTATATTCAATTATGCAGCATGATTCATCAAATATCGTAATTAATTATTTGGCAATTACCAAGTGATCTAAACTACTGTACTGTACAGTAGAGTCAAATTTAAACAAAGTAGTAGACAAGGTACTATCTGTTTTTAGTACATGTCGTTTAGGAGCTAAGTGACGTAAGACTGTATTCACCTGATTACATATGAAATCTTTATTGGCACAACAAAAGTACAGTGCTTTACTGCTTACTTGCAAGCTGTTAAACACGGCCCTAGCTATATATTATCGTTAAATAATAAACTAGTAGAAAACACGTTCATCTTGACTGTATTAATGAATTGCTGTAATGAAACAAAGGGGTCCTAATTTTCTGTTTAGCATTTTCTTAATTAGCTGTTGCATTATCATGGATAATCTCGTTTAGATTTCGCTAGTAGTTTTTTTTTGGGGGGGGGGGGGTAAGACAATCTTCTGTGTAACCGATTATAGTCCGAATTCAATATCGATATCAACATCAATATAAACACTGTCATCGTTGCTTAGAATAACCTGTGAGTTTTGTTTGCTTTGCTTACATTTCTATATACTGAATACAGACGGCAAGTTTATAGATAAAACAACAAATCCCCTTAACCTAAGGGTTCACCTTTTCAGACCTTTTTTCATAAAAATTAAAGTTGGGTAAACGGTTCTATGTGACTGTTTTTTTTTTAAATATGACACACATCTTGGGTTTTCAAGCACGAACTTTTCTATGATACATATTTTATTGCACTAGTACGCAATTTGTTGACAAATGATTCTGCAAGACCATTTTATTGTATGCTATTATTAAAGTACAAAACATCATTTGGCAGGTACAATTTATACCCACATACATCTTGTTACGAAGTGTTTCTAAGGGTAGCTTACCAATATCAGATATCTATACTTTGACAGTACAGCTTCACAACAAACATTGTTTTTAAAAAGTGTAAAGTACAGCTATCAAAAGCCATAAACAACACATTGTCATTTAAGTCATTAAGACACTATTAAATATTTTCTATGTCAATATGAAAGGGCATTTAAAAAAACGCTTTAGATGCTTAACTGTAAGTACAAAATACACCGGTACCAAGTAATGGAAATACGACAACAATTATGTGCCTACGTCTTTGTAGGAACTTTTTGGCACAGTCATCGATATTTGATTTGACAGTACATATAGATATATACAGCCAGGACTGTCCAAGTAGCCGGAGGCCATTATAAAAGGCTAGCCCTCACAACAGGCTAATAAACAGGCAAATCACAACATGGTCATAAACATTTAGGAACAGATAACAGGACGTCTAGCAAGGAATGCAAGGAATCGAACCCGTGGCTTGTTGATTTCGTGTTCGCTGGCCTTACCACTCGACCATTCAACAGTACAAAATACTTACAGCATCTACAGATTCAGATTTTATATTATAATTATTGAATATCGACTGGTATGTCAAATTATGTCAAACTAAGTGAATTAAATATGTCGAGTATTTACAACTTGCGCCCAGTTATTACAAATAGATAGCATGAAATCCTACATATATCTGTATTAGCGATAAAATACATCATAATACATAAAACTTCAAGAATGCAGCAGCTAAACGTATTAACATTATAAAATCAGTATTACCAGAGAAGAATAACATCATAAAACCACTATATACAACGGTCAGGTCTTATACAATAGCTTCAGCGCACGGGGTACAGAAGACTTTTTGTGTCTTTTCGTTCTGCTAGATGTTGAGGCAGTGACTGGCTTACAAATACGCAGGTTGTAATTACAAAATGTAAATTGTGTCCAAATGCTACAGAATGCTTTCTCGCGATTTTGCCTCAGGCACTGCAACCGAAGGACCTGCCTGGGCGACACGGTTGGAAACTGTCAATCGGGACAAAACATTTATAACCCTCGTGCTTCTCTGAGCAGTGGGTTGGGCAGCTGGAGGAACCAGGGCAAGATGGCGTCTGCAACGGATCATAGACTTAAACCCTTGCTGAAACTCTTTCAGGGTCCAGGTGTAAATAATGGGGTTGACTGCGATGTTCAAGTAGTAGAGTGCAGAACTGGTGAGGAAAACAGCTTTGGGAAGAAAGGCACTGAAGAAATCTACATAGTTCATCACAATAGACGGGCAGGTAAGAGCGAAGAACGTGAAGAAGATGTAGAACATGTGTTTCGTTCGCTTCACCGCCTGTAGGGACACTTGTTGCGGGCTGTGGCCGAGGTGTTGTCCGATGGCCATGGTACTTTTTCGCACGTGCAGGTAGATTCTGATATAGAAAGCAGATATGGTGAACACTACAACCCAGTACATGGACAATAGAACGTTTTTGAAAAACAACGGACTTTGGGGGTCATCGGAGGATACCTGACATACGCTTATATATGCGTCCCAACCCAGGCTTCCATAAATGCCGGATATAGCTGGAAACATGATCATAGTGCCTGTCACCCATGACCCAACAACCCACAGGAATGCCTTCACAGGACTGAACAAGCGCTTATAAGTGGCTACCGATAGCACAACGTGCACATGACGGTTAAATGCGATTAGAGCACAGGATAACAGTGACTGAGTTATACTAAACATGCTGAGAAATCCTATGAAGGCACAGCATGCCTCCCCACAGTTAGGTTGACCGGTGGCCATAGATAAGATGGAGAGAGGGATGATGGCTGCAGACGACACCAGGTCCCAGATACTGAGGTTCAGGATGAATGTGTTAGCAGTGGTCCGAACCTGTCGATAGAAAAGTGAGAGTAACATAAATAATATATTTAACTAAAGAACGACATTCCAAACCTTCTTGTAGTATGTAATGCATATCATCATATAGCAAGAAGGTGTCGACCAATCAGAGGGTTCATTTTGCCATTGGTTATCAGGCCGTAACCTGAAAAAAAGCGTTTCATAGAATGTTGTTTCACGTTACATATAATGTTTTTTTTTTCGGCAATGGAGGAATTTCATAAATAATTTTTTGTTAAATAACTGTCAGTTGGATATGCTATATGATAACAATGTTAATGCATTACCTTATTCTCGATGTATATGGTGATATAATCCCTGGTCAGGTGCGATAACCACCTAATAAACCACCTCGTTCGCTCCGCTCGCTTGGTGGTTTATTCAGGGGTTATCGTACCTGACCAGGGATTATATCACCATATACACTTCAGGGTGGGGCATTAACTATTTTAAGTTCAACAATTCCGGACACCATATTGTATAAACTAACCAGTAACACTAAATTACTTGAAAGATTGGATATAGTGGAATATTTGAAAGATATACCTTATGGTACAGTAGAAATGCCAGTATGACAGCAACGTTTCCAACGGTTCCAAGCAGGCTAGAAATACCCAGCAGTCCCAGAAACAGGCCGTCCTCCCATTGGAACTCATACACCGTGTACGGAAGTGCAGTCATGTTCAATAAGCTCAATCCTAAAAATAGTTGAAATTTATAGATTAATAACAAATTCATAGAAAAGATAAACACGAAATGTGGGACATAAAGCTAAATAATAAGAATGACACTCATGCCACTATTCGATGTGTAAAATAAAACTACTAGTTTTGCAAAATGTCTTTCATTACCAAAACAGTATAACATGAAAGTTCATCTGAGTTGGTAAATTCCATTATGAAAAATGTAAACTGTTCTCCAACTCATGAATTTCAATAACCGGAATTTTCGACTGAATCACTCAGTCTTCCTCAGCTATCTGACCCAAATGCCATGGACACGTGATTTTTCCCCCCGTGTAAAATTTTTTAGTTGGAGAACAGTATATATACACACATCACTAATAGAGTCACCAAAAAGGTATAGATTAGTCGAAAAAAATGCATCTGTCGGATAAGGGTAAATCGTACCAGGTTTTGTGTCGTTCAAAGAAAGGGTGCTGTTGAAGAGCCATGTCTCCCAGAAGGATGCCGTGTTTCTGTGGGAACTTGTGCTGTTGAAGAGGCATTTCTCGTTGACACGTGTCTTGTTCACCCAGGTGTTGTTACAGAGTGAGTAGACATCAGGGTAAGTCCCTGTGCCCACCGATAGAGCTCTGCCAATTATAACAACTATAGCAACAAGAATACATTGTATATTAGCTTCAGTGCAGAGTAAACCAGTAACACCAAACTTTAGTGCACAATAAACCAGTAACACCTAGCTCCAGTGTACAGTGAACCATTAACACATACTTCAGTGCACAGTGAACAAGTAATGCCCAGCTCCAGTGCACAGTAAACCAGTAACACCTTGCTTCTATGCACAGTGAACCAGTAACACCTAGCTACAGTAAACATTTAACCAGTAACACCTAGCTTCAGTACACTGTAAATCAGTAACACCTAGCTTTAGTTAACAATGAACTAGTCTCACCTAACTTCAGTACACAGTGAACAAGTAACGCCTAGCCTTAGTGCACGGTAAACCAGTAACACATAGCTGTCGTGCACAGTGAACCAGTAACACCTAGCTTCAGTGTACAGTGAACCAGTAACACCTAGCTTTAGTGCACAGTGAACCAGTAACAACTACATGTAGATCCAGTGCACAATGAACCGGTAACAACTAGCCTCAGTACACAGTGAACCAGTAACAACTAGCTCCAGTGCACATTGAACCAGTAACACCTAGCTTTAGTGCACAGTGAACCAGTAACAACTAGCTCCAGTGCACATTGAACCAGTAACACCTAGCCTCAGTGTACAGTGAACCAGTAACACCTAGCTTTAGTGCACAGTGAAACAGTAACACCTAGCTTTAGTGCACAGTGAACCAGGAACACTTAACTTTAGTACACGGTGAAGCAGTAACACAGGTGTCCACTGAGTGCAGATGAAAGGGCGAGGCTTTTTATATGGATGATACTAAATACTGTTCTGATATCCTAAACCAATTTAAAGCCACACCACCTGCTACCAAACATCTTATTAATTAGGACACGCGGACAAATACCGAGAAAGTTGTTTTCGTAATATTGGACGATGAGGCCACACTGACTTAATTATCTTGATGACACCAACGTATGTATTAGTTTGCAGTGGGTATTAGTATTTAATTATCGCTCGCTGAAAATCTGCGAGGCGTTGCGAAAACGCACGGTGCCTATTGGTATCAGAGCGTATCATAACTTTTCAATTGCAAATATACGAAAGCATTCTGAAAAGTAGTAAAGATCTTAGTAAAAAATACAGCAATTTAATTCAAACCAGGGTCAAAAAAAGCCCGACCCAAAAACCCAAATCCTGTAGACTGCTAAACATTACGTTTAAAAAAATGCGAAGAAGCAAAAAATAATAATTTGTTGTTTTGTATTCCGTGATTTTCGTGTTGATCCATTTGTTTACCACATAAACTACTTTTTTAGTGCAACGTTTGTTTTCGCACGCTCGCATAAATTTTGTGGTGACCAGAGGATGGCATTCATTAATCAAATTAGTATCCTAATGGCTTATATCGTATGGATAGGGTTGCGTCACCTTAGGCTACCTCGCTGCAAACAGGTCAAACAAGGTGTATACACAATGGTCTCACATTCGTAAAATGATCCTAGAAAAAAACTTGTTAAGAGCTCCAAGATCTCAGTATGCTTTTTACCGGTAAGATTGGCCAGATAATGGCCAAATATTCCATCTACAAACTGCATGCAGACGTATGAACGAAATAGGATCGTCTTAGACGAAAGCTGATTTAGATACTGTAATAAGGAAAGTATACCGACTATCCTATTAATTCTATTAATTCCTTTAATAGGTCCGCGACCTGGGATAAAAACAACATGCTTAACTGATTTTTCCTGTATGCCTAAATACCACAGGCCGGTCTACCAATATTCGACAAAAATTCAAAGTGTTGTTGTTTTTCGGGTGATATTTTTTGTTTACTTAAAAATCAGATAAGTTACGTGAAGGAGAGAGGGGAAACTCTAGGCAAATTAAGATGTGACCTTCAGTGTAAGGATCAGCTTCATGCCCCCCCCCCCCCCGCTCTGCTTCAGGTCAGATACCAACTTTTTTCCAGTTATTTCTTTCTAAAACAATAAAAATGCCTTCAATATTTAGAATTAATACCAACTAGAGTTCCACGATCTCATACCTTCGCCAAATGATGTTAGCCCTTATGACTAAGAAATTATAGATTAATCCCCCTGATTGTGCAAATAGGATCCTATATTGCATCAATTATATCTGTTGATCATATTCTACACCAGAAGACAGTCTTATCTCATCAAAGAATGCCATTATAGCATTTCCTCATAAATTATGCAAATGAGGTCCTTATTTGAATAAATTATGTTTAACTATGTTCACCTTCACATAGCTTTCAAATATCCCAAGTATGAAATTCCAGGCAGTTACCACTATGTAATTATAACATTTTCTCATTAATTATGCAAATTAAGTCCTCATTTGCATAATTGATATCTGCCTGTATTTCTGCCGTTCTTAATTACATATGACACAAGCTTGAATAGTCCTTTCATGGAATGCAGCTGATTTATAGATTTTCCTCATTAATTATGCAAATTACATTAATATTTGCATAATTGTGATATTATTATGTCAAGCATCACTTCAGCTACCCACATGCCAAAAATCACGACGATCCATCAAACGGTTCTTGAGTTATCCGCCTTTAAACATTTTTCAACTAACGCCCCTGCAGTTCCAGAACAAGCAGCTAGGGGGCCTAAACTCACGTCACTTCTTCCCCAGCACAAGAGCTACATACCATCTAAATTTCGTCACCCTAGCATGCCTAGATCACGAGATATCAAAACCGGAAGTTCAGCAGCAGTACCATAACAAGCCGCTAGGAGGCCCAAAATCTAATCAGTTCCACATCTCATGAAGACCTATCCACCTACCAAATATCAAGACAATCCATCTTAGCCTTCTTGAGTTATCGTGTTCACACACACACACACACACACACACACACACACAGACACACGAACGCCCCTGAAAACATAACCTTCTTGGCGAAGGTAAAAATGGGGCCAGAAAGGAACACCTGATGATCCACAAGGTTTCTTTTATTAAAAAAAAGCTAGCAGCTATGGGCTGAATTGCTGTGTTTCTAGTCTGTGAACATGGTGATTGTAAAAAGTATATATATGTACAAGCTACTTAACCATTACATACACATTAAACACAATTAAAATGATGATTCGTAAAAAGGACCAGCCAGCTATATACACATTTTAACGTTCTTCAAATGTAAGCAGGTTAACAAGAAGTGGATGACGAAAGGATCGGCTGTGCGATGATTTTCAAAGCGGGTGTTTTATATTGTAGTTTGAGACATTGATACGTATATTTAGTTTCCTCTATTGTTTCTTTTTTGTTTGTTTTGTTGGTTTCGCATAAACGGTAAACAGCTTTTAGGCGTAACACATCAGTTTTGTGCATGTACGTACAAGTACAAGCTGGGTAAGACCGGACTGTTTGAACCACTCACACCGGGAAGGTCCCCTACTCTTTTCAATAAATGCGGTGTTGTTTTTCAACGTGCGTGGGGTGTGGCTCTCCCCAAACACGGGGCCTGCATTTAATGTCCTTTCCGAGGGCCGTCCCTAACTGAAGCTACGTACTCATTTCCACCTGAGTCAAGTAGTAAGGAAAGGCGTGTTAAGTGCCTTTCCCAAGGGCACAAGATCGGGGTAGGATTCGAACCCGCGACTTAATGGGTGTGAGCCGAAAACGCTACCGACTGCGCCACACGACCCCAAACCGGAGTGATAACAAGAACTCTTCGAAAACATTTAATATACATATTTGGTTACCTTGTATACAATACAGCAGTAGGACTGCGGGAGAGCGGCGGTGGTGGGGTCTCATTTTTCCCGGCCGTTGTTGACTGACTGTCCGGCCGAACAGAAAACGTCGCTTGACCGAGTGACGCTCAGATTGTCGGTGAAATATGATTAAAGAAAGGATGAACAACGGATACGTACAGCTCTCGTGAGGGTCCGTTTCCTTGGCAACGGTGCAACCTGTCTGACGTATTTTCCTGATACATAATACGCCGGACTGACCAAAAGTCCTGGTCATCCTAATACACTGATTTTCAAACGTGTGAAATAAGAATACCAAGAACTGCGCAAATGTACAAAGGGGAGGGGGGTATCATATGACTTCAAACAGGTCTGTACTCCGTTATGAAGTCTTGGATGTTGTATTTGTAGATGTTGTATTCACAATTTAGATCGATTTTTTAAATAATCTACAAATATTTATATATTGAAAATATATACCACACGAAAATGCTAAAATACTACTTATATGCAAAAAAATTATGTTTTGTAAACAAAATTCTTGAACAAGACAAAATAAAAGGTCCTGACGTGAATATATCATTTACCCAGTTTTAATTGACCGCATCTTGTATCATGCAAAAATTACAAATTAATTTTAAAAGTAAACTACAGACACAAGACAGGTGTAAGAAAGGGTTCTGATTTTAACAAGAATTGTGTTAAAAGAACACCCCGGTGATGTTTGTTTGTTTGTTTGTTTGTTTATTGAGATCTCCATTCGTATGGTAAACTCCATACTATTCTTCCTGGAGTCCAGCAACATAAAATAACAATAACAATAATAATGATAATAATAATAATTAATTTTAGCAATAATGATAATAAATACATCATACAAATCATGCTGAAATTATAACAAATTTGAAACAGAATCAGCATACAGAAATAAAAGTGAATTGGAGATAAGAGATATAATAGAAATAATATGTAGGACATGAAAGTAATAATTGATGTACTTTCCAATCAATGCAAAATTGAAGTACCAAATTATAAGCCCCATGAAATTTGTACCATGGTATAACCTCAAGTGGTATATTCCGTCAATGTAACGTTTTCTTAGGCTCTGTTCATATGAAGTCAGTGAAAGCGCTTTACATGTGGTTTCCCCCGAAGCCGGTTTCAAGTGGCCCCATCTGAACGCTCCAAATCACATTGAAAGCGCCTCGATCGCAAACCACTTCTAGAGGTGGTTTCGAATCGGTTTTCCCACATCGTGATTTCAATGTGACTTCACCTGGTCATGGATTACCATGTGATATTCCTTTATTTATATACATTACCCAATTTTACGTGGCAGCAACTTAAAGAGCAGTAATGGTAAAAAAAAAATGTGTCCGCTCTAGGGCGAGCTTCACCGCCTCTGGCGGGACCACGTCTGCATTCGGCCGAGATACGCTGGGAGGGGGGACCAGCAAGCAGGTCGTTGACCTCTGACAATAATGACACGCTACCTTGCGTGTTTTCATCAAACAACAATAAATGCAGTTTCGGAGAATCGTGACTTGGGCACGGCTTGAAAGAAATGTATGGCACGTGGATCAGATGTGAGAAATGCGAGTTACCCGAATCGCGATTTGGGTGGTTTCATATGAACAAGGCCTAAGGTGTGACTACATACTGACCCCAGCTAGGGGGTATATCCACGTGCAGATATGAAGATTATCATGATTAAAGCGATGACTGCGCTCCAGGCAGCAGGGATTTATGTGCTAAAAGCGGGTTTACTTTTGGAGTATCGGGTTAGACGCTGACCATGTGATGAAGATTTCATAATCTGCACAACAACTGTGCAAAAAAAAAGCTGCATGTTTCAACCGGCTTGTATTGTTCCCGTATTATTATTATTCCCAAAAAGATCATAATAAGCAATCTTAAACGTGGAAAAACGCCTGGTTATCGTATGTGCATATATATGAAAATATAGAAGACGTTGTAAAATACTGATCGATATATCAGTAAGGCCATTGATATGATTTTATATAGAAATATATATTTACCATTATAATTAGGACCGTACCAATTCAACTACATGTAATTGGTTCTCCGACTATACCAAAAATGTTCTCTTAGTTCTCTGATGTCTATATCTGGTGAAATTCCCCACTAACGTTGCCCACAATGAAGTACGAAGCTGTGGTTCAGCCTGGAAAAAGTATTATTGTTCTACGTTTTGGATTGTAACGTACTCGTTACTTTGAAACGCCAGCCTAAAGCGGCGCAAGGTAATCAGATTACGCCCTCTGACATTTCTTTTAACACGATAAGTACTTTGATGTGTGTACCGTAATCTTAAAATGGGAGTTATAGATCGAAAATTAGTCTATAGTTTTCAGAAAAATAAAATCCTACTCGACATGGTATAAATATACATGGTATACATGACATAAGAAGATAAAAGCCGTTACCGCACAGACTTACTATGGTACCAATTGCTATATTTATGCATAAAACTATTTCTGGGTGTCTGCACAGTACAGAAAAATGCGCAAGCAAGCAAGGTCTGTCCGAAACCCTCTCTCCCGGCCCGACAGCGGCCAAACGAGCGGGCAGCAGCCCCCGCGTTCTCCCGCTGTCCTCCCGCGATCTCCCGCCGTCCCCCCGCGGAACGGCGCTTCTGACATGCGGCTGGAAAGTCCAGGCACTTCTTCAGACACGTACGAAGAAGCCGAGAGAGTGTACTATACAATAAAGGATGAGGATCTGCCGCCATCTTTACGTGGTACGAGGGGGCCCCCGTCTCAATCATCTAGCGGCCACCAGCGTGGTTTCAAGGAGCGTGTTCGCCATGGCGAGGGCGCATCTAACAATCTTCAAGAAGACCAGGAAGCGTCTTCTCACGAGGACGAAGAAGCCGAGACGGGAAAACGTTATCCAAGCAGCACATCTACAGGTAGCGTCAACATGATTATATGACTTACCCTTTTGAAGTTTAGGCCACACCGATTTAATTTTATGGATGACATCCTCTGAAGACCCCCAAACTAGTGCGCGCGGGCGAATAAAAAAAAATCCGGCCAAAAATAAAAACGCTACTAAACCACAGGAATACAAAGCTGGTATTGTGAATTTGCGACAGGACTTAGCGATGTATACGGCAGGCCGGCACATTCTGGCTTTTTGCGGCATTCACAAATCGGTACTGTACTTATGTACTGAGTTCTTGAGTCGTGGAGCTTCGAATTCGATAGCCTGGGTGCTCGGCTCCGTTTTGTCGCTGACTACCATGGACTACCCAGGCCTAGAGCCAGGCCAGAGCCTCGGTGGAGGTGATCTTTTTTTTTTTTTAGGGCGACAGGCGAAAATCAATGCGCGCGCGGATGGCATCCATAAAATTAAGTCGGTGTGGCCTTAGCATGGAAAGTTTGAAGATATTCTAATGTTATGGTTACGATTATAAATTGGTTTTGTAAATCCCCTGTTAAGTCACTTGTAGTCTGTGAAACGCAAACTCTGTCCGCGGCTTTAGTGGCCCATCGGTTATATGTTGGGCGGCCGGCTACCGTAAAGCGATTTAATCAAGCTAAGTCACTTGTATATGTTGTATTATCTATTTGTTTTTTGTTTCAATAACATGCCATCTTGCCACGTCAGATGTTAAAGAGGAACTAGAGTTTTGTTAAAACGTTTCATTATATCATACATGGTATCTCTGAAAAGTGATTTCTACTCTATCTTGTTTAGAGCGCTACCTTTTCAAGTTACCGCTAGCACCGCGTACAGAGCGCCGACAAATTGGCCGCCGCCATTTTTCCGCCCTCGCCTTTGCGATGACGTAACGTTGCGCATTCGATACAATTCGACCTTGGTGCTCTTTGCTTGTGTTTCCCTATCTGTTTGCAGATTATCACAGAATTTAGTTCCGTCTACTGGTTCGTACGTTATACGATCCGCCAACACCCGTAAGTAGAAAGGAGCTCACCATTACATCGGTGATAGATGCCGGGCCATATCATTAGACAATCCGTTTTTTCCTTAAAATTTTATCATTTAGTCTACTTCAATATCTTTTACATAAAATGCTAATTTGAACCTCTTTAGATTATTTCCATTGTGTTTTAAGGTTTTTTCTACACAAAAAATACGCCAAAAGACAGTTACTCATTGCCAAGCAACTGGATATGATTTTGAAAACGTCAGACGTTTCAGCTAGTATCCAGTAGCTTTCGTCAGTGACTGAGAGACCAGAGGGGAAAGCAGGTTTATAAGCACAACCTATTGATTGATATGCAAATGAAGTGAAGACAAATTTTTGGAAGTCGAAAAAGGAACAAAAGTCAGACAAGTCAAGACAAAATGATGCAAATTAGTCTGAAAGCTCCTGTTATACAGAACAGGAGCTTAAGTGCTGTCTGTCCTCAGGGCTGGGAGTTCCAAATCCCAAGTGCCGGAAAGATCGACCCGTAGCCCCCCTTCCCTGTTGAGGGTGGGGTTGTACATCCTTTCATATATTGCCTCTTTAACACCCCGTTCCCACCAGCGTGTTTCGCGGTCTAAGATATCCGTGGACTCGAGTTTGAAAGAGTGACCCTGGTTGTGTTGTAGGTGGTGGAAAATAGCTGAGGAGTAGCCGTTGGCACTAGGTCGGCAATGTTCTTTGTATCTTACTTTGAACGGTCGACTTGTCTATCCGATGTAGGTGTTGTTACAATTGGGCTCCTCACATTTGAGTCTGTAAATAACATTCGCCTTGGTACCTTTGTGAGATCGGTCCTTAGGGTGTACCAGTCTTTGTCTGAGGGTTGAGTGAGGTTTGAAGTTAGTGGCTATGTTGAAGTTTTGGAAGATCCGTCGGAGTTTCTCAGATACTCCTTGGACATACGGAATAGTGATGTTGGCCTTGTTTTTGTTGGTCAATGGTTTGCACTTCTGGGTTTTCTTAGACTGATCTGAAGGTTTGAGCGCTTTGTTGAAAGTCCAGTTTTGGTAGCCACATTTAGCCAGGGCACCTCGGAGGTGTGTATGTTCGTCCGTTTTGGCTTGGTCTGAAGTGACAATGTTGTCTGCACGATGGAAGAGAGTTTT